TTCTGCATGTCCATCAGACGTCTGATGTTTAGTGGGTGATGACAGAAAGTGAACTAGAAGAGATGAAGACAGTTAACCAAAGTAATTATTGACAAATACACTGAAATATATGAATCAAAGGTTAATCTGACATCAAATAATGTGAATCAGATACACCTTGTTTGTGTGTCTGTCAAGATGTTGCTGATTTTGCACTGGCAGACAAATGCTTCAACTTGAATGATCCTGGTTGTGTTTTTTCCTTATCCCTCATGTTTCTGTTGTTTTCCCCTCTCCTTTGTTGGTTCATTTCTCTCCATCTGACCTGAGATTTATTCTGTGTCCCATCAACTGGACAGAGACAACAGCATTCCAAGTCCAGCAACAATGATTCATTTTTTTAATGGATGAACCTTTCCACTGTTCAATCCTGCCCTCCTGCTCTGTCCTATACATATAAAACCATCCTCTTTGCACCAAGATGCTCATTTGTTGTGTCTCTCAGTTCAAACAATTTATTGTGGGCACGGTTTCTTTTAAAATCATGGGGATATTCGATGTTTCTCTACAGTCCTTCGATTCTGTCTCTCTACTGGGGGCTCTGGCAGTCCTGCTGCTCATCTATTTCATCTCCTCCTCCAGCTTCAGTACCCAGGAAGACAGGAAGGAGCCTCCAGGACCTACGCCACTTCCTTTACTGGGGAATTTGCTGCAGCTGGACACGAAGAGATTCCACAGCACATTACTGGAGGTAAGGAAGTTACTTGAGTATTTGTCTTCAAGGATATTTTTTGGATCTCCTCTGCAGTTCTGCCACCTTGTCTGGTTTCTCTGAGGTGTTTTAAGAAAGATAATCTGAACATATTCTGCTGATCTTAGCTCTCTAAGAAATATGGATCAGTGTTCACTGTCTATTTTGGACCCAAGAAAGTGGTGGTCCTGGCAGGATACAAGACAGTGAAGGAGGCACTTGTTAACTATGATGGCGTGTTTGGGGATAGACAAGCATCACAAATTTTCCAGGAATTTAGCCAAGGACAAGGTAAGGAAAGAAATACGAGTCCCATTTAAAAATGTTGTACTTTCAGCAATTTTTGCATTTATCGGCAATAATCTATGCGTTAGTTAAATTACTTGTAAATATTTTGTACTTTAGGGGTTACATGGAGCAATGGTGACTCATGGAAAGAAATGAGACGCTTTGTCTTGAACAAGCTGAAGGACTTTGGAATGGGCAAGAAGGTATGTGAGGACAAAATCATTGAAGAAAGTCACCACCTCATTGAAGTTATTAAGAAATTCAAAGGTACAGTTAATTTCATTTGTTTCAACCAAATTACATCAACCACATATTAATTACAAATGTATCCTCACTGTACCACTTTTCTGTTTCCCTTTTCATAGGAGAAGCTTTTGATACAACCAAAGTGCTTGTCTGTGCAATTTCTAATATCATCAGCTCCTTTGTGTATGGAAGCAGATTTGAATATGATGATCCAGTGTATGTGTCTCTGAGGGATCAAGCAAGGCGACGTTTCCAACTTCTGAACTCTCCCTCAGTGCAGGTAATATACATATTTGTGAAGCCTGTACAAAGACTGGACTAGATCTTTCAAAACTCGATCCTACATTAATCATTGACTCTTTTGCTTCTACTGTCTTTACTTTAATTACTGATACATGCATAATCTTTGACAGGTGTACAACTTGTTTCCATGGTTCTTCAAGTGTGTGGCAAACAGAAGGGAATACCACAATTTGGTTGATGACACTAAAAAAATAAACTTAGCCCTTGTCAGTCGTTTGAAGGAGACCCTCAATCCCCAGATGTGTCGAGGATTTGTGGATGCCTTTCTGGTCCGCCAGCAAAATGAGGAGGTTTGGATTTGTATCATCTATTAAAAGTGATGTGGTGGAGCTGCTGAAAAAGAAAAAAACAGCTGAAAACACGACAACTGTGTCCTAATTCTTTACTACACAGTAATTCTAAACAGGTTTATGTGTTTAGTGCAGCTGCTGGAAAAGGGCTGATTTTGGATACCGATACGGATTATTAGTAGCTTAATCAGGAGACCAGTAACCCACATTTGGAACTGATATACATATATATATATATATATGTATATACATAAGTAAAGCCGTTCCTAACTGGGTTACTTCATTAATAAGGATACCTGTAGCTGAATATGTACAATTACAAGAAGAATTTGTTGTTTACTGTGAGACTGATAACAGTTTGTCTTATGTCGACTGTTTGTTTATTTTTATTTTTTTTAAATCATTCACTGTTCTATCGCTTCTATTCCAAATAAGGACCATATCTTTACGTATTAGTTATTGTTTTCCAGACATTGGCTCTGAGTAATCTTTGTCTGCCGTCCACCTTAGCCATTAGCCGATAGCATCGCTGTGGCCATTATGAAAGTCAGAGGAAATAGTCTTAAACAGCTGGTAGCAACACGTCAGCTACTATTAACATTTTGTCTAGTAAAAAAATAACATTCATTATTGGTGAGTATCATTAATCGAAGCTGTTTTATTTTTATAGATGTTTCATTAAGTAGTCCAAAAAAATTAATTAATTAAAGAAAAATGAGTCAGAAAGGTGTGCTGTGAATTTGGGCACATAAACTGTGTATTAAGCCTAAAAACATTTTTAAAAAAATATTGGTAATGACGTACAGAAAATGTCTTCCCTGAATGACTTCAAACAACTCAATGTAAGATTTCACATTTCTACAGATCCGTTAATTTGAGGGTGGAGTTCAGACTTGTGCCACGTTCAAGTGATATAGAAATGTTAGATGGTCCAACCACTAAGACTGCCAGCGCAAAAGGGACCAGAGTGCAAATTCAGACGTGAAGTCGTCAGCTTAAATTTCCATCAGATTAACAAAAAAAGGTGCGTGGGACATGCAAGCGCCATGGAAACTGATACAATTACAAAGATTACTCTCACACAACTAACACGGTACACTAGTCTGGGAACGTGTAACACGCTGAGAAGGAAATACCACAACTTGATTGCTGTCAATAGAAAAACTGGATCATATAAACTCTCAAAAATGAAACTACATCAAACAAAGCTAAATAAACTACATTTAGTCAACCGCCTGAATAGGGGAAGCGGCAGTGGTTGCATGACAGGAATCGTTTTGGCAGCTGGTATGGAAACAGGAGGGATCTGGGACTGGGATGAGGTAGTAAAACCAGTTCGTAGTGGAAAGGCTGGGTCAAGGTGTCCACAACTGCAGGAGTGCAGGCAGGGAGTGACGGAACTGAGGCAGGAGAGAGAAAGCAGGTTACTCAAACTGAATCGCGAAAGCAATGTAATGGCCTGGTTGACTGATTGAAGTAGTTCAACGGTCAAGTGGTGGTCTGGGCTCAGCTTATATTGGGAGGCAGGTGATGAGGTGCGAGCCACGCCCCACCACAGGTGTCCATGATCAGGTGATTATCTAATGAGCTTTGACTGCGCACACAGCACACACACACCTTGCACACACCTTTAGGAAGCACAGGCTATCACTAAGCCGAGGAGGTGGAGGGCATGACGCTGTTTTTCGCTATTTTTTTGGCAAAGCTATTGAAAAGTTAACTTAATGAAGTGGTCACAACACTCATGTCACTCAGGCACGTGTGTGTGTCCATCCCACTAAGACCCACAGTGGATTAACAAGGACGGCAGGAAGATGGAGCTTCTGTTAAACACTGTCAGATTTGTTTGAATAATATGCCGTCCCTCTATATGTGCAGGAATCTGGGATTACCAACAGCCAGTTTCACACTACTAACCTTGTGATCACAGTCATAAGTCTGCTGGCTGCTGGCAGCGACACAACAGGAGGTACGCTGGCATGGGGACTCCTGTTTATGGCCAAGTATCCAAAGTTACAAGGTAAGAAGCTTTAGACATCCAGAACTGAAATGCACCATTGAGGTGCTTTAGTAGCAGACAGATCACGTTCATAAAAACAACTAAAGAAATCTTTCACCCTTCATGCATTCATTGAATTAAGTGTACCATACAACTGATCATGTGTGTTTAGCAAGCGAAGAAATTTCAGTTGTTTGCATATTATGTACGTGGTATTTACAAGCGTATGTAACATCTGAGTCTTAAACTAAACATAAATGGTTGTGTTGTCCCATAACTTCATGCATAAAGTTTATTAAACATGCTTTTTAAGGAGAGTTGTACACACCTGAATCCTAGCAGAGACGACATCAAATGATACGTAAAACCAACAAACCTCGAGTGATATCTTGAAATGTAAAAACCCCAAAATTCAAGATCTTTAAAGCTTGAACTTGAAAGCATTTTATTACATTTATTTGTAATATAGATTTGGTATAAAAGCTGGCTCAAGTAAATATTTTATCCAATCAATCTGTATTTTTAAGGCAGGTTAATTTTTGAGGAATAGTTTATCTTAATTGGGATGTTAACATCGTTCAAAAATATTAAACAGGATTATTTACTCACATGGCTTACAGCTTAAGTGGACCTTCCCCTCCCCGCAAATACGCTGGCCAGAATCCATGAACCCTTACAGAAGTCTCTGTCATGGTGGCTTGTTGCTAGATAAACCCCAACAATGCTCTCAGTCGCACAAACACCCAAAATGACCTCGTTCATCCACAACAATCAAAATTCAAATGCAACACAGCTGACGGAACTATCACAAAACCATTTATTCAACAGATTTGATCAACAACATTTCCATGATTCTTTGCACTGCCACAAGTTGTACTTAGTCAGATCAACAAACTCCTTCATTTCCTGTGGGGATAAATACAGCTAATGAGCTGCAGTCTTCATTTCATTGAACAGTATGAGGCTCCATCTAATACATTCTCTGACAAGCTGATCCTTTGTCTTCTCCTTTATTGTTAAGTTAAATCATCAAGTTAAGTCATTAATGGTAGTTACTTTATTTTGACAACTCCTTGACATTCCTCCTATAAACTTCAAAAGTACTACAATAAAACAATGAAAGTACATACAATAAGTCTTGGTTTCCAGTGCATTGTTGTAGGAGCTACTCATACATACGCGAATGCTATAGGAAGTGTTGCCTGAACAACTCTGACAGAACTGGTCACCTGGGAAGACTAAAACATGATCCAACATTTGACTGACTCAAGAAAATTAGACCTGAAGTAACAAAAATGTCAGATCCTTTTTAACAGAGTGCACAGTTGTTTATTGAGTCTTAAAAAAAAAAAAAAAACAGGTGAGAGAAATTTGGGTGAACTTTGTCCTCTGTCGTTTTTCATCTCCAAGATCAGGTCCGGGAGGAGCTGAGAACAGTCATCGGAAGTCGTCAGGTCCAGTTCAGTGACAGAAAAAACCTGCCCTTCACCAACGCTGTCATCCATGAGACACAGAGACTGGCCAGCATCGTCCCCGCTGCACTTCCTCACAAAACCACCAGAGACGTCACTTTTCAGGGCCACTTCATTAAGAAGGTTAGACTGAATGAACAACCTTGTGTGGGGCACCAAACCCAACTGCATGAGATGAATAAAGAAGACACACATAGATATATNAAAACTATACCTGACACAGGGCTGGGTCCACAGGGGGGAAAATTTTAACTTTGTCATAGGACTAAACATGATACATCATTGGAAAGGACTTGATCAGGGGAGTAAGATTATGTCAGTCTGGAAATTCGAAGTTGCTCTTGCTCAGAGATATTGACCTTTGAACTTTGGTGCATCTTTTAAAGCTTCTAATTCAACAACAAAAGGGGCAAGAATCATGGGACCAACTGTGATACAAAGCTCTTGACTTCTACTATCATGTAGGCTGTGGCTTGTAGTTTTCACCAGCAGGGGGCATCACAAAATGTGGCAAAATTTTAATTTCACCTATATATATCCATTTCATTTGTAAATTCAGTCCAAATAAACATGGTCCTCATCAATGTAAACTCCTAAATGGACTTAAAGTTTTGTATTTCACCCTCCGTTTAGGAGAAACGGCTATTTTGAAGAAAGAACTACAACTACCAGTAGCGTTACAATACAACGTGATTGGACACGGCATGAAATATGTAGTAGTATGTAGTTGGGGTTTACGACTACGACCACATTTGGACTACAATTAGCCTTTACATAGAGATCCTGTGGATGTCAATACTAGACGTTCAGTAGACGTCAGAAAAAGACGTCTTCTGGCGGTACAGTCTGCACCTGCCTGTGACCAAAATTGGACGTCCAAAAACAACTAAGAAAAGACCTAACTAACTAAGAAAAGATGTCACTGTAACGTGTCTTTGCGCAGTGGGTAACTACTCACGAGAAAAAGAATTATAAATGAACTGCTACTATTGCCACATTTAATCAAAAATAATGAGTGTGTCAGTTAGCTGGAACCTGATCTCGCTCTGTCAGTTTGTTCTGTAGAACATAATGGTCATGCTGCACCTCACTAATATTGCGTTTTGGTGGAAAAACACACTGCCTTGTTTTCTTTAAACCCAACATAGTTGTCTTTGGCAGAGCGAAGTGATCATAGTGTTCCTGCAAAATAGTTATGGGTTAAACTGCTGTGGTGGAACATTACCCACTGCGCAAAGACACGTTGCAGTTACGTCTTTGCTCAGCCGTCACAGGCAGGTGCAGACTGTAACGCCAGAAGACGTCTTTTTCTGACGTCCACAGGATCTCTATGTAAAGGCTTATTGTAGTCCAAATGTGGTCGTTATGGATGTCTTTCCACGTTGAATTTAATCTAATTTTAGAAATGGTATTTGTACTGCTTATAAAGACGTCCATAATGACCACCGACTGCACCTGTCTTAGATGTTCACATGGCATTGAAAAAAGTTACCTAAACTGACGTCCAAATGTTGGACTGCATATTGACGTCCAAGTGGGGTCATGGTTAGACGTCCAAATAGCGGACCTAGTTTGCACGTCATATAGACGTCCATAATTGGTCTTGGACCGATGGATGCAATATGGACATGTTCTGCATGTCCATCAGACGTCTGATGTTTAGTGGGTGATGACAGAAAGTGAACTAGAAGAGATGAAGACAGTTAACCAAAGTAATTATTGACAAATACACTGAAATATATGAATCAAAGGTTAATCTGACATCAAATAATGTGAATCAGATACACCTTGTTTGTGTGTCTGTCAAGATGTTGCTGATTTTGCACTGGCAGACAAATGCTTCAATTTGAATGATCCTGGTTGTGTTTTTTCCTTATCCCTCATGTTTCTGTTGTTTTCCCCTCTCCTTTGTTGGTTCATTTCTCTCCATCTGACCTGAGATTTATTCTGTGTCCCATCAACTGGACAGAGACAACAGCATTCCAAGTCCAGCAACAATGATTCATTTTTTTAATGGATGAACCTTTCCACTGTTCAATCCTGCCCTCCTGCTCTGTCCTATACATATAAAACCATCCTCTTTGCACCAAGATGCTCATTTGTTGTGTCTCTCAGTTCAAACAATTTATTGTGGGCACGGTTTCTTTTAAAATCATGGGGATATTCGATGTTTCTCTACAGTCCTTCGATTCTGTCTCTCTACTGGGGGCTCTGGCAGTCCTGCTGCTCATCTATTTCATCTCCTCCTCCAGCTTCAGTACCCAGGAAGACAGGAAGGAGCCTCCAGGACCTACGCCACTTCCTTTACTGGGGAATTTGCTGCAGCTGGACACGAAGAGATTCCACAGCACATTACTGGAGGTAAGGAAGTTACTTGAGTATTTGTCTTCAAGGATATTTTTTGGATCTCCTCTGCAGTTCTGCCACCTTGTCTGGTTTCTCTGAGGTGTTTTAAGAAAGATAATCTGAACATATTCTGCTGATCTTAGCTCTCTAAGAAATATGGATCAGTGTTCACTGTCTATTTTGGACCCAAGAAAGTGGTGGTCCTGGCAGGATACAAGACAGTGAAGGAGGCACTTGTTAACTATGATGGCGTGTTTGGGGATAGACAAACATCACAAATTTTCCAGGAATTTAGCCAAGGACAAGGTAAGGAAAGAAATACGAGTCCCATTTAAAAATGTTGTACTTTCAGCAATTTTTGCATTTATCGGCAATAATCTATGCGTTAGTTAAATTACTTGTAAATATTTTGTACTTTAGGGGTTACATGGAGCAATGGTGACTCATGGAAAGAAATGAGACGCTTTGTCTTGAACAAGCTGAAGGACTTTGGAATGGGCAAGAAGGCATGTGAGGACAAAATCATTGAAGAAAGTCACCACCTCATTGAAGTTATTAAGGAATTCAAAGGTACAGTTAATTTCATTTGTTTCAACCAAATTACATCAACCACATATTAATTACAAATGTATCCTCACTGTACCACTTTTCTGTTTCCCTTTTCATAGGAGAAGCTTTTGATACAACCAAAGTGCTTGTCTGTGCAATCTCTAATATCATCAGCTCCTTTGTGTATGGAAGCAGATTTGAATATGATGATCCAGTGTATGTGTCTCTGAGGGATCAAGCAAGGCGACGTTTCCAACTTCTGAACTCTCCCTCAGTGCAGGTAATATACATATTTGTGAAGCCTGTACAAAGACTGGACTAGATCTTTCAAAACTCGATCCTACATTAATCATTGACTCTTTTGCTTCTACTGTCTTTACTTTAATTACTGATACATGCATAATCTTTGACAGGTGTACAACTTGTTTCCATGGTTCTTCAAGTGTGTGGCAAACAGAAGGGAATACCACAATTTGGTTGATGACACTAAAAAAATAAACTTAGCCCTTGTCAGTCGTTTGAAGGAGACCCTCAATCCCCAGATGTGTCGAGGATTTGTGGATGCCTTTCTGGTCCGCCAGCAAAATGAGGAGGTTTGGATTTGTATCATCTATTAAAAGTGATGTGGTGGAGCTGCTGAAAAAGAAAAAAACAGCTGAAAACACGACAACTGTGTCCTAATTCTTTACTACACAGTAATTCTAAACAGGTTTATGTGTTTAGTGCAGCTGCTGGAAAAGGGCTGATTTTGGATACCGATACGGATTATTAGTAGCTTAATCAGGAGACCAGTAACCCACATTTGGAACTGATATACAT